TCCTACTCTCGCCTATGGTCATGAGCTTTGGGTCATGACCGAAAGGACAAGATCTCGAATACAAGCGGCTGAAATGAGTTTCCTTCGTAGGGTAGCAGGGCACACCTTTATAGACAGGGTGAGGAGCTTTGTCACCCGGGAGGAGCTTGGAGTAGAGCTGCTGCTTCTCCACATCGAGAGAAGTCAGCTGAGGTGGCTCGGGCATCTGTTTCGGATGCCTCCTGGACGCCTACCTAGTAAGGCAGGGGCGTCAAACTCAATTCCTGGAGGGCCAAAGCTCTGCACAGTTTAGTTCCAACCCTGCTCCAACACACTTACCTGTAGGTTTCAAACAAGCCTGAAGGACTCAATTAGTTTGATCAGGTCTGTTTAATTAGGGTTGGAACTAAACTGTGCAGGGCTGCGGCCCTTTTGGAACTGAGTTTGACACCTGTGTAGTAAGGTGTTCCAGGCATGTCTCACTGGGAGGAGGCCTCGGGGAAGATCCAGGACACGCTGGAGGGACTATGTCTCTCGGCTGGTCTGGGAACGCCTCGGGATCCCCCAGGAAGAGCTGGAGCAAGTGTCTGGGGAGAGCGAAGTCTGGAGTTCTCTCCTAAGACTGCTGCCCCCGCGAACCGGCTCTGGATAAGCGGACGAAAATGATGATGATTGGTGTGTTCTAAATTCTTTTGCTTCAGCATTATTTTTGGGCCTTAAGCCATTTCCCCAAGTTAGCAACAGTTTTAAGTCATAAACTTTCTGATGTCTTTAGGGTCCTACATGGGTGATTTTTGAATCTGCAGTAATTTTGGGCAAAACACTCCAAAGAACTTGGTGCTTGTTCCAATTACTTATTAAAAATGAGCTGAAACATCACAAATCTTGATTTTTTTTTTTTGTGTGTGTAATTGTGTAAAAACAATTAAGTTAACTTGATCTGCTTGTGTTGGGAATTGAGTGGAAAAAATGCAGGGTTCCACACAGTTCACTTATGTTGTTCCAACACAAATAGATTAGGTTAACTTATTACATTTTAGTAGATTTGAACACTAGGGGTGTCAAAATTAATAGATTTTTCGGTGCACCGCGATGCAGACGCGGACAATTCGGTATCGGTTCAGTAATAATCATAACCGGTTATTACAGATGTCATTTACCTCATATGCGCTCTGTCGCGAGAAGGCGATCGCGAGTATTTACAGCGCTTTAACTACTTAAAACTCATAAACTGTGCACAATTTCACTGTGTGTGTTTGCTGGATCAGTCTATTACTGACATATACAACAATAGCCCCTATTTCACTGAGATCGAGAGAATGAAAGTAGCCTACTCCATTTCTCTCTCTCTCTCGCTCTCACTCGCTCTCTCTCTCTCATTCTCACACACAGTAGCCCATTTGACCTGCTGGCGTGGCTTCTTCTCTTCTCGGCTGTTTTACAGCGTTACTTTTGCATACAGAAACAAGCGCGTCTGCAGAGTTTGCTCCACCGTGTCTATCATACATCAGCTGTGAGATCGCCGCTGCCGCTTATCAGTATCACTCATCTGTGAAGAGCGCAGCGCGCAGCTGATTGAGGGTGTGACCAATCAAAGGGGTGTAAGAGAACTAGACAAGGATCAGAAATTGAGCTGGATATTTATATTTGTTTATATTATTTGCCAAATGCTCGTTTTGTTTTAAGTTACAGTTTATATATCTGACTTTTTGTATTAAATGACAAAATTGTATTACAAATAGTATATAAATATAAATATATTCATACATTTTAATACAAAAAATGCTGCTGTGAAGAAAATATAAAACTGTGTATGGAAAGCATCGTCAATGCACCGTGATGCACCGAAATATCGAATTGAACCGAATCGATGGCATGATAATCGTAACCGAACCGAACTGTGAGACTAGTGTAGGTTCACAGCTCTATTGAACACAAAGCAATTGCAATAAAGCTGTCCCCCAAAAACATTAAGAATCGTGTCATTTCAGCTCAATTTAAATAAGTATTTTACAGCAAAATACTTTTAAGTGTAGACAAGTTACTCAAAGTGTGTTCCTAATGAGGATCTTCTTTTGAGCAGCATACACGTGCAGCATTTTCAAGAGTTCACACTTAGCTGATAATCAATAAAGCGTATTTGGCATGCTGTCCCGGGAGAGAGCCCTGAGCTCGTAATATCCTCGAGCCCGGGGCTCCCTCCCGTTAGAAGGGCGAGAGGGGAATTCGAGGTCAGGTAGGTCTCGAGAACTCCCCTGCTTGTCACCGTGAGAAGTGTAAACTCAGGTTGTATTGGGTGATAATTTGTTTTAGTCGATTGCTATGGTTTATGTTTTTGGACGGTGGGAGGAAACCGGGGAAAACCCACGCGAACACGGGGAGAACATGCAAACTCCACACAGAAACACCAACCAGCCCGATGGGTTGGACTAGCGGTGTTCTTGCTGTGAGGCAACAGTGCTAGCCACTGGGCCACCGTGTCGCCCGATCAGAAAAAGTGGGAGGATGTAGGGGTGGAAGGGGGGGAGCTTCAAGACGAAGATAACTGGAGTGGAAAACTCAGGTTATTTATAATGCTTCCGTAATCATCTAATAGGGCTGATTACGGAGCTAACAAGGAACCAGCCGTGTTGATTATAAGCACGTGATCCTCTCGAAATTAGTTTATGAATAAACCACACTTAAACTCCATAGGTATTTTCCAAATAAACAGATTTTTTGTAAGTGGATATATTATCTGTCAGCCATTTTTAAACTCCACAATTTATGATTATTAATGTGCATTTAAAATAGGCAGGTGCAACATGATTGATATATATGCACCAACATGAGGGCTGGTGTGACGGTCAGACGGGCTGTCAGGGGGTATAATAGTGTGGAGTGGGCCGTGGCACCTGATCACTGCCTTACAGAGAGTGACACAGTCTGGGTTATTTTTAACCCACTCATAGGGTCAGTGACGGGTCTCTTCCCTTCCTCCTCTCACACTGCACAGGGCTTTTTCTTCTTTAGCATTTGTGCTGCTGCGACGGACAGACAGATGTGTCGGAGTTCAGACATGGTACTGATCACTTTCAACTAAAGTTCTAGAAGTTTACTGTATTCGATCATCAGAAAGGAGTGTAATTAGCATGAAGTGTTTGAAGTGCAGATGGGAGAAACAAACCGCTAATGCTTTACTTGAAGGGGACACTTAGTCTGCTTTAATTATTAAGAGCGTCATTAATATGGAATGACATGTTAATGGCAAATTCAGCTTGTACCAATGTAGGAACATGAGTTCAGATGATGGCGACTTCTTTTGTAGTGATTCCAGTTGTGCTATTGTTTGGTATTTATCTTCAGGAAATCACTGAAGCCATGTATTATGTTATCATAACGATCTAATGTGGCAATACGATCGTAACAGTACTGTGCATTTACACGGTGGCCGTTTTCGTCAATGCAAACACTCCAAAAACAACATGAACATTATAGCAAACACTGTAAAAAGCCCATTCCCAGCCACTACACTTTTCTGACAGGGTATTCAAGGGTCATCGAGTGACAGAATGTTGTGGGACTGCTGTACAGAAGTTATTGTTAGGGATTATAGATCGCAAAATTTTTATTTTAGTGTTTTTTTTTTTTAAAAGCATGATGCTAAAGCACCAACGTGGTTATGAATATATTAAAAAGTGTTTGTTTGTTGGAAAAATTCATCATGACAAAAATACTAATTAGTGGATCTCCTTACTTCTGGGTGCAGATGGAGGTAGTGTATTATGGGAAATTTTTCCTACCCCTTGGTTTCGAGTGTGGTCCTGAAAAATTTTCATTTGAAGGAGTGTATACCCCTTGCCCTTAGCCCTACGCCTTCAAGCTAAAGAGAATTGGGACCCCACTACCCCTTCACGGGCACGCGCAAAACGAGGGGTAGGGGTAAGGGGAAGGGCTAAGGGGTGGAATTGGGATTGGGCCTTAGTGCCTGTAGTTAGTGTTCTGAGGGGAAATCCTCCTGCCGACAAGGGACAACAGCTTATCAACTGTGTCCGAAACCGCCTACTACTCCGTAGGTACTGCATTTGAATTTAAACGTACTACTCGGCCATTAGAAAAGTACGTTCTATACAGTATGAATGTGAAAAGTATGAATGGAATTCTGACATACTACATCCGCCATTTTGTCATGGTCATGTGACCTACGTGCTTCAGTTGTGTCGCTTTACTTCCATTCATAAATTCGCTCGCGGGGCATCATAGGATAGCGCAGCATGCATGGGATGCGCACTCCGGAATCTCGCCGGAAGTAGCAAGTCATCCGGGTACTTTTCGCATACTGATTTTCGAATACTATGAATTCGGACATACTACTCGGCTCGCATACTGATTTTGGCGTACTATATAGTATGGAAGTATGCGGTTTCGGACGCAGCCTGGGACTGACTCCAAAAGGGCCGCAGCCCTGAACAGTTTAGTTCCAACCCTAATTAAACACACCTGATCAAACTAATTGAGTCCTTCAGGCTTGTTTGAAACCTACAGGTAAGTGTGTTGGAGCAGGGTTGGAACTAAACTGTGCAGGGCTTCGGCCCTCCAGGAATTGAGTTTGACAACCCTGTTTTAAAGCTTCATGAAGCAGAGTTGTGTAAGTAGTCATCAGTAGTGTAATTGTCAATGTATTCGCTGTGCAGGAATGGGGATATTGGCACATTTATTTCTGGAGTGTGTTTAGTGTTAAAAAAACCCACTTTGGCACTTGCATTTCATCACTCGTGTGTTCTTATGACTGACAGCATGGACTGTTTGTCTGAGCCGACTAGTCCATGATCTTACTGATACCCTGATGGCGGTCGCTTGTGCGTTAATCTGTTGACATTTATGACGAAGTTCTCTGACCACAGACATCAAATAGATGCTCGTAAAATTTTTATGTAGCCACGGTTGTTTTTTAAATATAAGGTTTTGTTTATTACAATACATTTTTACGGTAAGCTACTGACGTTATATAACCAACTGTATTATTTGTTTTTGTGTGACAGGTTTTGTAACAGACATCGATTAAAAACAGGAGAGAACGTTCCATCAGTCCCTCGAGATCTGCTGCTCATGTCTGAAATGGTGCTGCCGCGGTTTATCATCACTATCATTCAATATCTGAGAGACGGCTACACTGAACCAGGTGAGGACACCAGGGGCTTTATTTTGACGGTCCATGCGCAGAGCGCAAAACGCAGGGCGCAAACGCTTTCAGGGTGTGTCAGAACACATCTTTGCTTTAAGGACGGGAAAAAAGGCGCATGGTCTACAAGGGTTGAGTTTATTTTCTTAATGACATATAGGTGTGTTTTGAGAATAAACCAATTAGAGTCTCATCTCCCATTCCCTTTAAGAGCCAGCTGTGTCGCGCCATAAGCGCATTCGCTATTTACAGGACGCAAAATAAGTCTAAGTGGAAAAACTGAGCATTTCACACGCATACAGTTAACAGAAAACTGTTAAACAGAGCATCTACTGCGTGAGAATGAGAGATAATGGATCTACTTTCACTTTCGCTCTTGGATAGGGAAACCTTTAAGCACAGACATCAATTAGACTATAAATTTGTTAAACGCAAATATTAGTTTCTAAACTATTTCTAAATTCAGTTCTGATTTCCAGCAAACGAATAAATGAACAACAATAACGAAGTGTGTTCAAAAACCTGAGTTATATCCTAAAACACATGCTGTGCCCCATATGGTCTAAAACCTGCAGGTGGGCAAATCTAAGCTTGTTTTTAATAAAACAAATATAAATATGGATATAATAAATAATACTGCTAATAATAATAACATTATACAAAAGCAAATTGTTATGAATGAACTGAAAAAGCCTCCCGAGATGAAGAAGACATAAAAGCAATGATTTTTCAAATTTATGTAGGCTAGAAAATAATATGTTTTTTAATATTTTAATCCTTTATATTAATATCCTATATATATATTCTTATTATATCCTATATATATCCTTAATATTTAATTTTTTTCATATGTAAAGATATTTGCCTATTGCTCTCTTGTGTGTATTAAGCAGTGTGTAAGCGAGGTGCAACTCTGCGCTGGAGTTTAGACCGGGTTTGTTTTGGTCTAATGAAAAATCTATTATAGTTTCTTAAAATAGCAACGCGACAGCAGTCCGCCTCAGAACGCCTTCCTTTTTAGACCAGAACGCCTATGGGCGCACATATGATCGCTAATGCATTTGCTATTTAAACAGCATAGCGCAACGCCTCAAAACGACTCTTGCGCCAAGCTGAAACTAGCAAACAAGTATTGCGCCGCGCCTTGCGCCACATTGCGCCGGGTGTATGATAGGGCCCCAGATCACAACTTAAAGGAGTCTGTTGTCCAAAAAATTAAAGTTCTGCTATCATTTACTCACCCTTTACTTGTTCAAAACCTATTTGAGGTTCTTCCATTAGACACACAAGATATTTTGAAAATGCTTAATAGGAAGGCGAATAATTTTTACTTTAACTGTGCATTAGTTAATGGTCATATTGAGAAACATTCGTGTCTATGAACAAAGGGATGGGTTAAATTTTATGACTTTATGACTAACTGTTGTGAGACTGGCTTTTCGAAAATTATTTTGTTCAACACGTTAACTTGTTCTGATTTCCTGGCAGAGTCGGCCGCTGACAGAGATCTTCAGAAGGTTCTGCAGCAGTTGGATCCACACATCTCCTTCTTAGAAGAGCTCACCAAGATGGGCGGAGCCATGCGCACCGTTCTCACCAAGATCTTAACCGATCAGCAGACCTTTAAAGAGCTCAGCATGGGTATGTATGGGATGTGTTGGCATTGCAACATTTATTTATATTTATATTGTTTATCTAATTTCCAAGAACTGTTTCCAGTCATTGAGACTCGATATTTGCACACGTTTTTCGTATGTATGCGCACGTTTGAACTTCTCACAAAAACTTTCTACCTAATTCTCAAGTGGGTATTTGCATGAGTTAGACTTCTTCTTCTTTTAATGATTTTAGAGTTTTTTAAATGAAAACCAATGTGTACAAGGTTATTAATTTGCAGAATACATGCCCAAACTTACTCCATATAGGGGCTTTCCACAAATCGTTACTTGACCAGAGAAAGATTATTATGGTGCCAAAAACTAAAGACAAAGAAAAAGGCCTTTAACAATAATGAACAACAAGTTTTGTTGTCAGAGTTTAAAGCCAGAAAAAAATGTGCTAGTTAATATCCATTTATATTAATAAAACTTTAATTAAACTTTTATTATCAATTAGTTACTTTGAAATAGCATCTGATTATATGTAGGGTTTATACATGTTTGTAAAGCCCCAGGTGTTCACCAGTACATGAAGTTGTTCTTTAATTTTTTCCGTATTCGTTTATTTTTTATAATTTCTTTCTTTCTTTCTTTCTTTCTTTCTTTCTTTCTTTCTTTCTTTTCTTTTTCTTTCTTTCTTTCTTTCTTTCTTTCTCTCTTTCTTTTTTCTTTCTTTCTCTTTCTTTCTTTCTTTCTTTCTCTCTTTCTTTTTTCTTTCTTTCTCTTTCTTTCTTTCTTTCTTTCTTTCTTTCTTTCTCTCTTTCTTTTTTCTTTCTTTCTCTTTCTTTCTTTCTTTCTTTCTTTCTTTCTTTCTTTCTCTCTTTCTTTTTTTCTTTCTTTCTCTCTTTCTTTCTTTCTTTCTTTCTTTCTTTCTCTCTTTCTATCTTTCGTTCTTTCGTACGTTTTTTTCTCTCTCACTCACACTTGGGGTAATAATCAAAATTATTAGAGATGTTTACTGTTACTAATTGTTTAGCCTGTATTAATGCATGTAGTGTAAAGCTGCACAACCATTAAAAGATCAGAATTTAAATTCAAACACCCAAGCAACCTAAATAATGACGATGTGCATATTTTTATCAATCCTTGACTCGCTGCACTCAAATCTGTGTATGGTCGAGACAGATTCAGCTTTACACTTTTCAGTTAGTTACAAACAGTCAAATAACACAGACGTACTGGGAAAACAATTTATAATAGAGATATAAACACAGATGTTTATGGTAAAGATTAAAGTCACTGTTTAATCAACTTGATGCTCACAACTGAAAGTTGTAGCAATTACATAGCTTAACCAATAGGTGGCGCCAACCAGACATCAAATATGTCACTGACTAATTCTTAAAAAGGATGTATCTAGTAGTGAAACATGAAGTTTTATAAGTAAACTATTGAATGCTTAATTAAAATTACAGACTCCAAATTATGTTTGTTAAAACCAACATTTTCTAGCAGTGCTGTAATAAATGAAATGCGAACTTCATTTTTCTCCTGTTTTGCTAAACTGAAAAATGGTTTGATCCGTAACTCAAATACCACAATGTGAGATTTGAGTTCCGTTACACCACTACTTTGTTGTTATTGCCTGTTCATTTTAACATAAAGTAACATTTACTTATGCATACTTGTGCATTTGTAGCTCCGCCCTGTTTTAAAAAGAGGCTTAGGACAACAATCTCATCGTAATTGAAAGTGACAGTCACCGAAATGGCACAATTAGGATCAAAGCGTTAAAGGAGCTCCCATTTGGAACCTTTATTTTTAAAATTGTATACAATAATAACCAACATGTTATGGGTAAAACTATAAAGTAAATGTAAAACAAATAAATAATACAAAGCTAGAGTTTCACTTACATTTTTAATTGTTTAAATGACTGCACAAGAATAATACAAGGATTAGTTCAGCCAAAAATAAAAATCATCATTTACTCATGCCGGTTTGACTTTCTTTTTTTTTTTTTTTTTTTTTCTGTCGAACACAAATTATATTTTGATAAAAGCTGGAAAACCTGTAACAATTGACTTCCACAGTCTTTGATTGTCCTTCTACAGAAGCGGACAGTTACAAATTTTTAGCTTTCTTCAAAACATTTTCCTTTTTGTTTAAAGGAAGAAAAAAGTTAAAGGTCTGTAACCACTTGTGGGAGTGTAATTTATAAATTTTTGGGTCAACTATTTCTTTAAATATAAAAAAAGACTTATGTTGGCACAATTCAAACAAGTCCTTTTTACCCCAATAGGTCAAGAGGATAATGTTTATGCAAAGAAGAACTATGAGAAGTATTTGTCGGCATTGAAGAGCTCAGGTCTGGTGTCAGTGGAGGAGAAAGGAGCCGCTGGAGGAGCTGGAGACGGGACATCAGATGCTGCAGCAGGGGCAGGAGCGCTCAGTCTACTGGGTAACACTGCTTTCTTTTCTTTATTTCATTTACTTATGGGTGTTTACGATCTTTGTTATAGAGCGAGTGGGGGAACTAGATTTTGATTAACTTGACATCAACCTTGTTGTTTTAGGAGCCACTGCTACTGCTAGTCTGGATGACTCCAGCAAAGAGGTAAGCACACAGACTGCTGGGATAGACCAAACGTGACACAACAACCAGTCATTTTGTCCATTTTGATTATCTAAGCTGATTTTAGCATGGTTGATTTCTGGAAAATAGTGGCTCAACTGATGTTTTTTTGGACAGGAGGATCAGGATGGGCTGCAGGGTGTGGGTCAGAGGAAAAGAGTGAAGCTCAGTAGCAGTACCAAAGGTAAATCCTAGTACATCATGTTAAACAGCTGAAGGCAAAATGATTAGCCCTCTTGTGAAATTTTGTATTTCCTCTTTCAAATTCTTCTCATATTTACTATCATGTGATGTTTATTGGAGCGAGGACATTTTTAATGCATTTCCTTTTTTATGGAGAAAGTCTTATTTCTTTAGTTTGACTGAAATAAAAGCAGTTTAAAAACTATTTAAGGTCAATATTTTTAAGAAATATAGGGATGCACCGATATAGATTTTTTGACCGATACCGATAACCCTTTAGATATGGAGGCTGATAGCCGATTTATATATATATATATATATATATATATATAGGTAAAGGTAGATATATATATAGGCTGACAATTATAAATATTTCAAAATGTTACATTTTTATACTGTGAAAAACTGATTTTATTTTAAAAACTTCATAAAAGATTGAACTGCTCTTATGAACTGAATAGTTTATACTCAAAGCAAAAAAAAAGTTAGAATTTCAAAATTGCAAGGTGATTATAGAGACCTATATTCACAATTTCTCACAAATCAGCATGCAAAATAAATTATTGAATAATAAATAAACAAATTATTTCCTTTTTTTCATAGCAAATTAACATGCAACTTGACTGTACTTACTGAGTTATTAACACACATCAACACCACATGAAGAAAGGACAGACTTTAAAGGAATAAACAATGTGGGGAAAGCTCCATTATAGTGCACTGGACAGGCAGTTCTGTACAATTACGTAATTTATCTGCTTAAAGATATCAGACTTAATTTAGACATCAGACCGATAACGATAATCTTAAATATATCATAATAAGTTACTATATCCTAATATATCGGCCGATATATCGTCCTAAAAATATATTGTTTTCAATTGGCTACAGAACACCTGTTGTCCAGTAACTTGCCTAATTAACATCGTTAATCTAGTTTAATATGGCACTTTAAGCTAAATACTAAAGTCTTGGATAATAACCAGAAAAATATAATTTGCTGTCATAGCAAAGACTAATGGAATTTGTTGTTCAAAAGTTAAAATACCACAGGAGGGCTATTAAGTTTTACTTCAGAACTTGAAATAATTTCTCAAATAAAATAAACATGCATTGATGTCTTTCTCTTTATATCTAAAATTTCTTGGTTTTCTTGCTGTTTCTGTTTCGATAGATCCATCCATAATGGACACGCTGAAACATAAATGCTTTTTAGAAGAGTTACTGTTTTGGACTATTAAGTATGAATTTCCACAGAAGATGGTGACGTTTTTGCTCAACATGTTGCCAGATCAGGATTACAAGGTATTTAATTCTATTTTAAGCATATTTCAGTCTATATGTGCAGGATTCAAAATTAACTTGTGGTTTGTTGAATCTGTAAATTGCTAAATCTAGCCAATTTTGGTACATTATTTGATTTTGAGAATGAACATTGCTAGTAGTTTTCAAGCAGTCATAAGCAGGGCCACATGGAATCTGCAGACATTTTTTGCTATTACTGCACGGAATTTTGATAAAAATTTACAGATTCATGCGGAATGATTTTGGGGGTATCATAACTAAAATATTCTATTTATATTATATTAATATTCCTTAATATATGATCTAAAAAGGAATACACTTTTAACTTGTATTTAGTGTTTACAATGCAAATCCAATTAGATCCACTTTATTTTGTAAACAAAGCAAGTCTTCTATATAATATGTCTACTAAATGTGACAAAAAATGACTTTATATACTGTATTGTGAATAAATTATATTAACATTTACATATTAGTCAATAAAATTACTGAAATTAATTAAAAAAACTGAATAAATATAAATTTACACACATTTACACAAGTAAATAAATAGACTAATTTCCAGCAAATGATTAAATTAACGATAATAGTTGAAGTAGTGTTCAAAAAAACTATAATTATTATATAGTTATATCCAAACACATGTCCTATTCTTATGCCTCATATGGTGGTTCATACATCTCCAAAACCCGAATAAAAACCCTGTTTTTATTATAACAAATATAAATATAAAAACTTATACTAATAATAATACTATACAAATGCAAATTGTCATAAATAAACTACAAAAAAATTAAATCCCTCTGAGGTGAATTATATTTATGTAGAAAATAATAATTTTTGTAACATTTTAATCTTTAATTTGTTTTCACATGTAAAGATATTTGTGTATTGCTGTACATCCTGTGTGTATTAAGCAATGTGTAAGCATTTAGACTGCATAGGCGCATAACCAACTTGCTCTGTACTGAATTAGAGCAGCTTTTAGTTGGGTAATGGCGCAGTCTATTTTAAAACAGCAATGCGCCTTAATGCACTCCTTTTTAGACCGGCACACCTATGAGGGCAGAAATGGATTTTCTGTTTACAGTTTAGCTTGAAGAATAAATAGATTTTTAAATATACATTCAGTCTTTGTAATCCTTCATTTCGTTAGGGTATAGTTTTATTACTACTTTTTCCCCTCTAAACATTTTTATTGTACTTGATAGATGAAACATGCAAAAAAAATTGTTTTAAGACTGTAAACAAAGCCCTTTACACACTTATACATTTAGGTTCTATAAAAATATCTAAATAATTTTAAAATAAAATATAAATAAATAATATTAAGTAAGCTGTCGCCTCACAGCAAGAAGGTCGCTGGTTCGAACCTCGGCTCAGTTGGCGTTTCTGTGTGGAGTTTGCATGTTCTCCCTGCCTTCGTGTGGGTTTCCTCCAGGTGCTCCGGTTTCCCCCACAGTCCAAAGACATGCGGTACAGGTGAATTGGGTAGGCTACATTGTCCGTAGTGTATGTGTGTGTGTGAATGTGTGTGTGGATGTTTCCCAGAGATGGGTTGCGGCTGAAAGTGCATCCGCTGCGTAAAAAAAAAAAAAAAAAACTTGCTGGATAAGTTGGCGATTCATTCCGCTGTGGCGACCAAGGATTAATAAAGGGACTAAGCCGACAAGAACATGAATGAATGAATATCAAGTAAAAAATATATATGTAAAAGGAAAAAAGGACGAGTTCTACTCATCTAAAATAACTGAAGGCTTCATAGTTTTGTTACTTTTTAATCAAATTGGTGTTTGCTTCTCCCTTGTCACAGATCACCTTCACTAAAACATTCGTACAACACTATGCCTTCATCATGAAGACCCTCATGAAGAGTCACGAGTCAGACACCATGTCCAACCGCATCGTGCACATCAGCGTGCAGCTCTTCAGCAACGAGGAGCTGGCCAGACACGTCACAGAGGAGTGCCAGCTACTGGACATCATGGTCACCGTTCTCCTCTACATGATGGAGAGCTGCCTTATCAAGAGCGAACTGCAAGGTAAGCAAAGAAAGTACATTTACTGGCAGATCATCTACACTTCAAGCTACATTTATCAACGTGTCTTTGTTCTGTCGCAGATGAGGAGAATAATCGTCATGTGGTGGTGAACTGTGGCGAAGCTCTGCTGAAGAATAACACCTACTGGCCTTTAGTTAGTGATTTTATTAATATCCTATCACACCAAAGTGTGGCCAAGCGCTTCCTGGAGGATCATTCTCTGCTGCTGCTCTGGATGAGTTTTGTCTCCTTCTTTCAAGGTCAGTAACTGTCATAAACCATCGTTCCTTTCATTTCTTTCTTAAAGTTGTCTCTTTTCTAGGACAAATATCTAAAAATTGATCGATCAAGAAGCACTTTCTAGACGAGCAAAGAATAGTCTTGCAAGCTGAGAAAATATTATATACTTTTCCTTCTATGCTAATGAAGGACTACTGAGACATTCCAAGCATGGGATGGGTCCTCCTGGTGAGGCAGAGTTCCTCACAGCTCCGATACACATCTCTGCCATTTGCTTACAGTAACCATGTGCTCTTCACCATACACGATTCATCTGCTTGTGTTCTTCTTTCAGATAACTTTGTCATGTTTGGTGTCATTTGACAGTTTATGACTTCAGTGTTGTAGTGATGAAATCAACAGAGACATTGATTAATTGTATTTCAATCTACAATATATTTACTATTGTTGGGTCATGGCCTGAGGAGAGTATGTTAATGTACTTCTCCCCCACTTCATCTCTTCAACTTTGCTCTCATGTTCAGCTGGTTTTGGGGGTTGGTTTTTCACTCATGTTTGACAATGCTTTGCTCAGGGTATAAGAAAGAAAGGTAACTGTTGATCGGGGAGAATGGCTTTTACTCTGCATCTCCCGCACACCAGTGCGTAGCCTCATATGCTAACAAAGGCAGTTTTACTGTCTTTGTTGCTCAGCAGTGCATATGTTACAGCTACTTTCTTTATACAGTATGTTAGTTTGTGTCATTCTAATGTCTGTATATTTAAACATGTAACTTAATAAAACAACTTTGCCTGCTTTAAGGCGTAGAGATTCTTTCTCTTTATCAACGATGATAACAACTTTCATGGAGTCAGATTAATTACAATGGAGTCAGATAAATAATGGATTTAAACACGCCATCCTTCAACTGCTTTCTGTTTCCGATTATTGGTACAGAATAGCAGCGTAAGCTTCAAGCCTTACAGTCTTATTTTCAGACAGTCAAGATAAAATGAGTAATCCAAATTTTGATACCGTCAAACCGCCTCCTTATTTTATCCGGTATTACCAGCGTAATAAAAAAACATTATGACGTAAGGCTCAGACAGCGTCACCAAACTGTTGGCTTAAACCTAAACCATTCAGAAACTGAATACCTTCTATGCGACCTTAAGCCTGATTTATACTTCTGCGTCAAACACCGGCGTATGCTACGGCGCTGACGCATAGCCCTTCGCCGTGGCCGTCGCCGTCACAGACGTGCACCTCTCAAAAAATGTAACTACACGTCGCAACGACGCGTAGCGCAAGCTCTGTGATTGGTCGGCTTGGTAGCGCTGACGAGTCTGGGCGGGACTGAGAGCAGCGCGAATGGCGCGAACCCAATAGACCGATTGTTTACAAGTGTGGAGTCCTGTGAAGGAGCTCCGGATGGAAAGTTTTGTTTTGTGTTTACCTCATAGTTAAAGTTGCTGCTCGTCCGCCGGTTGCTGCCTCAAAATGAGCGAGTTTGAGCCACTTGTACATCCTGGAAGTGTTCAGGAAAAGCAAAAAAGCAGAGAAGAAACTCGACACAGAGGAACATTTACACCTCACTGCCAACTAGCGTTTCGGAAGTGTTAATGCAGACCAACAGAGACAGCGCGCAGAAGTATAAATGCACAGCCACGCGCGTTGCATGCGCCGTGTGTTACGCCGGTCACTTGACGCAGAAGTATAATTCAGGCTTTAGGCTCGTGGTCAGAAAGAGAGAGAGAAAGAGAGAGTGAGAGAGAGAGAGCGCCAAGCGACGCACAGCATCTCTCTCTTACACCAACACACACACACACACACACATATCTCACGCGATTTATTCAAAAATTTACTCCCACACCGTAAGAAATCTGGCCGGCTCCCGCGGTACTGCAGCGGGAGTGCAGAGAGCTGTAATCGGGCCATGAAAATTATACCCGATAGGTACATTTTGATCGACAGCTTTATAAAGCCCGAACCCGTTTACAGCCCGACATTATTCAAATGTGCTCATGCACACAGCTCTAATGTATTTTTTTAAGAATGAGTCATTTATATGTTTTAACATCATTTATTCGTAACAAACGTAGACTATAGGCCACTCGGAAGTTGGAACAACGAAATAAAATAAGTCCTCTGTAACATCGTAACATCTCAACACTCTATATAGGCAGTTCTGCTTGCTCCGGACCTGCAAGTCAGTACATAAAAGTCAATGCAAATGCGTGAATGCAGGTGTTCACTACGAATGTACACATTTCACCTCAATCACGCCTACCAAAAATATACAATTAATAAGAATTTCCACAAAGTAAACTAGAGCAAATGATGCGATGCTCCACATTTAGTGTGAACCCATTAGTGTTTACTTTGACCAATTAAAGGTTCTGAGAGGCTGTATGCTTTATTATATTAAAAAAATTATGGTAGCTTTTTCAATATTGGCTTAAAATACCTTCTATAAATGTAATGTAGATAATAAAAAGCGTCCAGGACTCTTTATTTTCAAAAGTTTTTTTTTTTGTTTTGTCAATTGAACACTCATTAAATGTTAAGAACTGAAGCTCGATCTCAGCGAGTCAGTCATTTACTCTAATGTTGTGAACTTTCTCTCTCTGTTTTGCTTGCTGTGTCAGGAATGAATCTGAATAAGCGGGAGCTGAATGAGCACGTGGAGTTTGAGTCTCAGACATATTACGCAGCGTTTGCTGCTGAACTGGAGGCCTGCGCTCAGCCCATGTGGGGTCTCCTCACACACTGCAAAGTTAAAGTGAGATATGCACTCTTCCCTTCGTACTTTACATTCCAGTATATATTATGATATTTTGACAAACTATGACAGTTGTTGTGTATAGGCATATGGCAATATTCAATAATACAGTAGTGTTGTAAAACCAATTGTGTGAAACCATTAGTTCTGACATTTTTTAAATCGTCCATTTGCTGCTAACTTTTGAGCAGTGTTGAGCTCTTTTTGAGTTCAACAATACTCAAATCTTTGAGGAAATTGGATGGTTTTAAAATTTCACCACCAATTGGTACCATTCGATTGGTCAATACTTTTGACAATGCTTTAATACAGTATATCTTGAAATGAACTTCAGAATACTGTTGATAATTATTTATTATTATTTTTTCTTTCTAAGATTATTCAGATTGTTGTGCCAAATGCTTGACGACCCCGATTTATAATGTTTATTTTTAAACACAAAAATATTCACATGCTAATCTGGCCTACGACTGGAGATATTGACTGAAAACACTATGGCTATTTTTTGGTCTATTGTTCGGGTAACAAATCCTTGTGATGAATTACAAAAGCATTTATTAATATCATCAAGTTCAAGTTACTTTATTGGCATGACATCTTGTTCTGTATTGCCAAAGCATTTTAGATTTTTTTTTATCTATGTTTTAGATGTCTAAAATATGTCATATTTCGACATCAAATTAATAAAATATACAGTAAATGAAAATAAACAACAGAGGAAAAAAAAGAATAACAGCTCTTATAATTATAATAATTACAAGAATAAAAGGTGTAGATTATTTAATAAGGCACCTAAATTTAGATTAATTATATGTTTATTTCTTAATATTGTGATAATGCCATGTATTGTGATGAAAACTTCAGTACTCACAAATAAAGTCCAACGCTGTCATGAGCCTAGCTGTTTTTGAATTAAACATTTTGTTTATTGTCAGGAGACCCAAGACTACACTAAGACAGTGGTGCGGTACTGTCTGGAAACTCTTCAGATGTGGTTTGATGCCATTGGGTTTGTAGATGAGGTACAGTCTAGATGCTTACGCTAATAGATTTGGTGCTGGGGGGTTCATTTTCATTTATTTTCATTCAAATTCAGTATTTTGTTGCAAAGATTATTTTAAAAAAAATTTATCATACATACATTTTATAAACATTTGCATGTTGTTCTACAGCATTACTGAAATTAATATTAAAAACAGACTTTTATGTAAAAAAAATGTAGGATATGTTTAAGGTAAGATAAATTTGGAAGTAGTGTGTTAATAATATTAGATTCTCTGTCGCAGCCTTCCCTCAACCAGCTGACGTTTCATTTACCTCTTCACCGATACTACGCCATGTTCCTCAGCAAGGTAAGCCTGAGCAGGATAAACTTGAGTAGAAAAAATGCGAAAACACTACAATGGAAACATGTGCAGATTACTTTTTTGCATGCGTTTCAAAAAAGTCGTATGTTTTAATTTAAATCATGATCAGACCATGTGATCATTTCATTTTAATCATGCTCAGATTAATCAGATCATGTGATTGTAAAACTTGACATGGGACTGCATTAATGAACAAATCAGCGAACTGATCACATTGTAAATCATCTGAAATGTTTTTTTTTTTTTTTGTCATTTTGAAATCTCTCAACCAAAGTCTGTCATCACAGTGGTTCAGTATTACTATCATTGAGTATTTTCGAGTGTGTACTCTCCCAAAGAGCATCTCATGTCTCCAAAATCGTCTTCATCTTCTGAGGTGCAAATAGTTATTATATAAGGAAAAAAAGGCCCACAGTGGCTTCTCCTACCACAGCAAATTCTGTTTTTCATTTTGCTATTTAGCACCAGTTTATCAGGAAGTGACGATTTTGTTCTCATTGACTCATTACACTGTGTGCTAACAACACGCGGTGCGCTGCTGTGACGCATTAAAAGGTATCTTTTCCATTTTAAAATGATTTTTTTTCCTCACAAATTCTGATTTTAGAAATGCTTTCTGTTTTCATAATGTCAAGACAGAACAACAGCATAAACTACTATGACAATGATCACCTCAGGTACTGATTATGTGCTACTGATCAGTGTTAATTTTGACAGCAAACTTTGATTTAGTTTTAGTCTTTTGATTAATTCCATTTCAGTTTTAGTCATATTTTAGTCTTCTGAATCATTTTAGTTTTAGTTGACTAAATTATATAAGATTTTAGTCGGCTAAATATACTCTAGATCAGGGTTGTCAAACTCAATTCCTGGAGGGCCGAAGCCCTGCACAGTTTAGTTCCAACCCTGCTCCAACACACTTACCTGTAGGTTTCAAACAAGCCTGAAGGACTCAATTAGTTTGATCAGGTGTGTTTAATTAGGGTTGGAAGTAAACTGTGCAGAGCTGCGGCCCTTTTGGAACTGAGTTTGACACCTGTGGTCTAGATTTTATTCATTCATTTTTTTTTCGGCTTCGTCCCTTTATAAATCTGGGGTCGCAACAACGGAATAAACCGCCAACTTATCCAGCAAGTTTTTACGCATCTCTGAGAAACAACCTTACACACACATTCACACTCATACACTACAGATTTAATATGTATTAAATTAGAATCCAATTAGATGTAATTATATTGAAAGTCTTTTGAACCGTTTCGTTAGGCGTGCAGTGGCTGCTATTTAAATATTTTTTGTCATGATGTGTTGCGATTGGTACTGACAGCCAAATTGCGTGTCACTGGATTCTTGTCATGTCACATGTTGTTAGGACACTGTTAGATGTTAACGCTGCTTTATTTGCTAAAGTTTTTTAGATGTAAATGGTTTTGATTTGATGTGGTTTTTACACGTTTAGATTACATTTGTGCGTCTTTTGAGTAGACCTCAAGATGTGCTGGCAGGGTTTTAATCTGATTTACTGAGCTTTAGCTTGAAGGGAGCGTGCTTTGTGCAAATGCTGCTTTATTGAAGAGAATCTTTATTTATTTACTCTGCAACACAACGCTGTCAAAGACCTAGGCCTATAGTTAGTCTTTATTCTGGTTTACATTGTTATAAACTGATCTGCACCTGTTGTTTTGCAGGGAGTGAAGTGTCAAGGTCTGGATTTAGACAGTTTGCTTCCTGATCAGGAGATGCTGATGAAGATCATGGTTCACCCCCTACAGATTCAGGTAATATGAGATAACGTGAATAAATCTAATGAAAGAACAAACAAGATGAGATGGAGCTGTCAATTTATATAGGAGCTGTCAAATATATATATATATATATATATAAACTATAATATTCATCAATAATATACATGTAGTACTTTTGTTGAGTTCTAGGAACTAAAACATTACATCTGTACACAAGGCTTTATTTGTCCATCAGTTCATTAATGCTGCTGAAGCTGAGAACATTGTGTTGTGTAATGTTGCAGCCGTTTGTCATAAATCTTCACCGATGTCTCTCCTTTCAGTTCTGGAATGTGACTTGATGTCATATGAGAGTGGTATGATGTTAGCGCTACAGTGCGGGTTAAGTATTTGTGTGTGTGTGTGTGTGTGTGTGTTTGTGCAGGCTAGCCTGTCTGAGATCCATAGTAACATGTGGGTGAGAAATGGGCTGCAGATTAAAGGTCAGGCCATGACCTATGTCCAGTCTCACTTCTGCAACTCCATGATTGATCCGGACATCTACCTCCTGCAGGTGAACATGCCAACACCACTCACTCAGTCACTCGCTCACTTAGTTACTTCAGAATGCGTTCGTCTTTCCATAGCTTTTAAATTAGCTCTTCGTTCATTCAATTTCCTTCGGCTTAGTCCCTTATATATCAGGGAATTACTAACTATTCCAGCAAATGTTTTATGCAGCGCATGCCCTTCCAGCTGCAGCACTGTACAGGGAAACACCCATACACACTCATTCTCTCACTCACTCATACACTACGGGCAATATAGTTCATTCAGTTCACTTATAGCGCATGTCTTTGGACTGTGGAGCATCCGGAGGAAATCCCCGCCGGCACGGAGAGAACATGCAAACTCAACACAGAAATGCCATCTGGCCCAGCCAGAACTCGAACCAGCGACCTTCTTGCTGCAAGACCACAGCGCTAACCCCTGAGCTAATGAGAAACCTCCGTCTATAATTTCGTTTTTATTTATTTATTTATTTTTTTGGCGTCAATTTGATAAGCTTGAAGATGGAATGTTTCAGATGATTAAGTTATAGCCGCTTATATGCTGGTCTTGATCCCTGGTGCCCACCTTTCCCATGTCTTTGTTCAGGATTAATTCGTTCAAAATCCCTGATTTCCTGAAATAATTCCCGAAGTAGACTTTGAATTTCGAAATAAACCTCCACAGCTTTTTGATAAGGAAGCAATAACTCTCCTTCCTCTACATGTAGTTGATTGGATGGAAATCATTTCTTTTTTAAAGCATCACTGCTTGAATTGTCTTTGAACTGTTTTGCGTTTTTTTTTTTTATGCAACAGATGAATTCTTTCAGTGCGCATGATGACTTTTTCGCAAATGTTAAAATAAAGCCACAAACCTTTACAGAAAAACATACACGTTTTTCTTACCAAATAGCATTAAACAGAGTCATTTAAATTATTTCAGACAACATGGTTGCCTTTAGTGTATTTTCGTTTTCTTGTCTTGATGTGAACAAACGTTCCATATCATTGTTTATTATGAAATGCGGCCACAGCCATATCACCCTGCAGCCCAAGACCTGTTACTCACTGAAGCTAAGCAGGGCAGAGCCTGGTCAGTACCTCGATGGGAAACCACATGAGAAAACTAGGTTGCTGTTGGAAGTAGTGTTAGAGAATCCAGCAGGGGGCACTCAACCTGTGGTCTGTGTGAGTCCTAATGCCCCAGTAAAGTAAAGGGGGCACTATATTGTCAGTAGGCGCCGTCTTTCAGATGAGATGTTAAACCAAAGTCCTGACTCTCTGGTCGTTAAAAATCCCAGCACTTCTCTAAAAGAGTAGGGGTGTAACTTTGTGTCTTGGCCAAATTCCCTCTCTGCCCTTAACGTGGCCTCCCAATCATCCCCATCCACTGAATTGGCTCTATCACGGTCTCTCCACTATATCTATAGCTGGTGTGTGGCAAGCGCACTGGCGCCGTTGTCCTGTGGATGCTACACACTGGTGGTGGCGTGGAGAGATCCCAGCCCTCATGATTGTGAAGCGCTTTAGGTGTATGGCCATACACTATAAATGTGCTATATAAATACACATTACATTACAGGACAAACCTCAGATTGATATCTCATGATGTAAAAGTTATTGGAAGATTTAAAAGTTTGATTTAAATCCCACACATAATTTAAGGATGGTCTGGTGGACCCGTTGCTGCTCATATGAAGCTTTTTTCAGCACATTTCCTAATCAAAAACACCGTTATTTCACCCATTTCAGTATTTCTTCAGTGTTTTTTTTTTGTTGTCTTCAGGTGTGCGCTTCTAGACTGGATCCAGATTACTTCATTTCCTCAGTCTTCGAGAGGTATGGACACTTCTGCTTTTCTGAGTTTTCTCACCCACGAGTCGCTCTTTAATGAATGGCTGTTTGCATTTTGCATCAGGTTCAAGGTGGTGGATCTGCTGACGATGGCGTCTCAACATCAGAACGCAGTGCTGGACTCTGAACAAGAGAGGCCCATGCTGGAGGGGGCGCTCACCTTCTTGGTCATACTGTGCAGTCTCAGGATACACTTAGGTGTGTGTTTTCTTCAGTTTAAAGTCTGCGTGAAGTCAAAATTTACAGTGGCTATTTTGCTAGCTCACATTGTAAGGTGAATAATTAATCTAATAATGAAGTCTGAGCATTTGCTTCTGTGTTTGGAGGTCCCTTGGGTGAAGTCAACCTGAGGGCTTCCATAGCAATCAGAATCAGTTTTATTGCCAAGTGTGCTTCACACACACACAAGGAATTTGTTTTGGCTACAGAAGCATCAAGTGTACATAAAGTGACAACACAAAATAAATGAGAAAAAAGATGATAAACATTAAACAGAGGTGCAGTTAGTCAAGAAATCTGGATGTTGAATTGTATGTCGAGATTTGTTATAAATATACAGGGTATACGGTGCTGTGTACAAATGCGAATGTAGAAAGTAGGGGTGTAACGATACACTCAGCTCACGATACGATGTGCATCAGGATATAATGTTCACGATTCGATATGTATCATGATATTTGGAATAAAAATGTAAAATTAAACTGAAATGCAAATTTTACCAAGTAAACTATTTTTTATGTATTTCTTTTGTTTCAACTTGTTAAACTGAACCTTCTTTAAGGAAAATAAATTAAACAGGCCTGTCTCTGGAAAATAAAACAATTTAAAAACTTCTTAAAAATATTATTGAAATGACAGAGACAAAATTAAGGAACAATTTAAGTAAAGGTGCAAAAAAATAAAATTCTATTCAATTGAATTTAACATTAAGAGCTTAAGGCTTTGCTTGGTCACTTGCGTTTTTTGTGTGTGCAAAAAAAATCCACATTTCCAGGTATTTAATACATATTTAATTAAATTCATTTAGAGATATCTCTAATTACAATTGTGACTAGTCAAAACTCATTTAGAGATATCTGCAAATATTTTTCAATGGAAGTCAATGGAGGAATATGACTAGTCATAATATATTTGCAGACATCTCCAATCTGATTTCGTACTAGTACAATTGTAATTGCAGATATCTCTAATTGTCATTCTGACTAGTCGAATTATAATTATGACTAGTCAAAATATAATTAGAGATATCTCTAAATATATTTATGGATAGTCTGAACAAAGGTTTAAATGCTAAAACGGCTTGCCATACGTGCGTCAATCATAGTCCGCCCTCTGTAGTAACAGCTCACGGTCAGCTCACGTCATGTGTGATTTTGCGGCGGGAACATTATATGAAGACAGAATGATATTTTAGGGTGAATTGTACCTTATAAATACAGTATGTGACTCGTTCAACACCATTAGGAGGTATCCCTGTCGCTGTGCAAAGTATGTAAATCACTGTGAAGACTTTATAACTTCGGATGTTTGACCCAGTATGCGTGTCAAAAAGCGGACGAGTCTAAAGCAATGAATATACAACCGAAATGTTGCCAGACGTCTGATTTTGAGAGGATGGGCCATCCTCTATTTCAACTCCACTCATCTTGGTCTGCTAACATTACTGCTGCTGCAATCTGAACTCACGTGCGACAGCAGGTGGAACGTAGCTCACGTGAAAACGGACGTCATATCGTAATCAAATCGTCATAACGCCACGATGCATATTGTGACATTTTTGCATCGCAATAAATCGTTACACCCCTAGTAGAAAGTATTGCATTGTATATTGAAATAAGGTGCTGTGTAAAAGTGCGTATGAGAAAGTATTGCACATGTTTATTGCACAGTTGGGGGATATTTACCTGTTCATGAGGTAGATGGCTTGGGGAAAGAAACTTTTCCTGTGTCTGGCTCAGTGGCGTAGCGGATGGGCCCGCAGGGCACGCTCCGCGTTGGGGCCCCGCGTGATTAGGGGCGCCGCGTCGTCGCGATTTTTAATAATTGAAAATCCGGCAACCGCAATAATCAAACCCCTGGGAACAACTGTGGTCGGAACCAAAGTTCCCAGGTCTGTGTTCTCTGAACTCCTCTCAAACGGTGGACTACTTCATTCTGATTGCTTGCCGCCGAACCGCGTCATTGCTCATACCATAAAGTTTAATGATTTTAAGTCCTCCTCGATGCCCTCACCGGAGGAGACGCGCCGTGCTACTCCTCGCCACTGGTTCTCATTGATATTGAATGACTTCCGGCTACTTTGACGCTCTCGCCGCTTGTTTGTGAACACTACTCCGCGTCGTCGCTCCACCCCTTCCCCCTTTCCCGCTCCTTAGTTTGTGATCGCTTCTCAGTTTGTGAAGGCTTCCCCGTGTTGTCACTCTACCCTGCCCCCCTTTCCCACTCCTCAATTTATGATCGCTTCCTCGCGTCGTCGCTCCACCGACTTTCCCTGTCTCCTCAGTTTGTGATTCACCCCCCCCGGCCGCTATGACACTGGTATGGCTGTTTTTGTGCTTGGTGCTCTAAAGCGCTGACCAGACGGTAACAGTTCGAACAGAAAGTGTGCTGGGTACGATTCGTCCAGAGTGATTTTGTGAGCCTTCATATTAATACTATGGATTTTCCGATTTCCTTTTCCAATACCTGAGCTCTGCGTATCGGCCAATGCAAAGTACTGAACCGCTACCTGATAAAGTTACAATTTAAAAATATGCTGCACATCAATAAGACTTGTTTATAGAGAGAGATTATTAAATTATTTTTATTAAATCTTGTAAAGTTGTTACAACGCTGCCGAAGTATCTCTTGTTTACTTTAAGTCAAGACAAATTCAAGTTGATTATTTAAACTGAAACTACTTTCATTTAGCATCAATAAAAAAACAAATTGTAAACATTTTGAAAACAAAGACTATACGCTCTATTTTAACGATCTAGGCGCAAAGTCTAAAGCGCAGGACGCAAAAGCATTAAGGGCCTGTCCGAATCCACTTTTGCTATTTTAAGGATGGAAAATGCACTCTGCACCCCGGCTCATGGTCTAACAGGTTTATAGGGTTTTTGGGTTGTTTTCCGGGACATCTAGTTTAGAGCTGCACAATCAATCGTTAAAAGATCGCGATCTCGATCCGACCCCCTAGACAATCTTAATTCAGCATTTCTACGATTCTGCCAATCATATTTTCAAGTTCAGGAGAGAAGAAAAGGCGGCTGCACGAGTCTTTTCATTGTTTCACACACGTTGCTCAGTGACATTGACACCTCCAAATGATGTTGAATGAATCACATAATGTATTTACAAGGTATAATTCACCTTAAAATGTCATTTTGTCTAACAATGATGATTTCGCTATCGGGAAATCACACGTGACGTGTGCTGCTGACCGTGAGCTGTTATCACAGAGAGGGCGGCGCGCGTACACTTTTGTGAACAGAACCTGCATATGTTGCGAGTAACAGGTAGTACAGATGTAAATAATATTCAGTTTGTGGCACAGAGTGATCGTTTGGGAGCCGCGCGCGAAGTATGAACAAGCACTTAGCAGTCAGAATGAAACCGAAAGTGTGCACTTCATTTAAATGATCATATCGCATATTAGAGTTATGATTACGGCAAGCATTTGATATGTTTTTTCTTTCATAGCGAACACACAGTTGTGCATGAAATTAAATGTTTACAATGTCAGTATAACTACTCTAGCCTATATATTGTTGAATATAATCTGATAATGGCAAATGTCTGATTTTACCAGTGAATAGAATTGTCTAATATGACAGATTGCAAGCGTATATCTCAAACATAATAATTCAGCATCAGAATTATTATAAGTAGAATAGAATTATTTATAGAAGCCAGTAGACCTACACATATTATTATTATCGATGTTGTGCCATATGTTTGTTTTTACCATACCTTTATTTTACATCTACAGAATCGTGAGAAAATCGTGATCTTTATTTTAAGCAAAAAAATCGCGATTCTCATTTTAGCCAGAATCGTGCAGCTCTATTCTAGTTTTAACAGGAAGTTTGAGAAACTAGCTCATTGTGTGTGTTTTTCCCCCTCTGTGTTTCTAAGCAGGAATGTCTGACGATGAGATTTTGAGAGCCGAGATGGTGTCACAGTTGTGTATGAATGATCGTACCCACAGCTCTCTGCTGGATCTTGTATCCTTTCACAATTAAAACGGGAAGCGCAGACAGGAAGTACTCAGTTTTGGTGTTTTCACAAATATTGGAAATTCCTGTCATGTTTTGTTTTACTCTGTTTCATGAGAATCCAGTTGTTTTTTCCTGCCTATGTTTGGTTAAATGGGTGATTACCAGCATTTTTGTCATTTTGCCTAATTTCAGCAAGCTCATAAGAATTGAACAATTAAACATGTGATTCAACTCCATCAGTGTTTGCTGATATTCCTTGACGATGGTGTTAGATCCCTGAGAACCCGAACCCTAAGAGCGGTGTGGTGCCGGGCAGCTGTAGTTTTGAGGAGATGCTGTCTGGTGTAGCGGATTTTAAAGCCCCTGTGTTTGAGCCTGGAGGATCCATGCAGCAGGGCATGTACACACCTAAAGGTATTTCCCATATGCTGTGTGTATCTATAATGACCTCCAGATGGCAGTGTCACTCCAGGATTGCTGTGCTTTAGGACATATTGTTCTCTATGCATCTGCTTTCTAGTAATACATGAGCTTTTGCTATTTATTACGTTAAATAATGAAACCTACTTCAGTCCAAGTCTTATTGAATGTCGTAGTCTTCTGATTGTCGTGGAGTGTGTTTTGTGGTTTAAAACATAACTTGATTTAAAATATTCTGGTATTTCAGATATTAGATCGATCCATAGAATCAATGAATTAAGCAGTTATGTGTGTGTATATAGTAGTTTTGACAGAGTAGTCAAGTATAGTTTTCAAGTGGTTTTGTTGTGTGTGTGTTCTGTATGGTTCTCTTGTGTTTTTTCGCTTTCTATTTTTTTTGCTTTCATTCGTTTAAATGCACTGTTATATTTAGAAAAAAAATCCAAATAAAGTAAATTTTTACACCATTAAATTATTACCATGTCGTCATTTAAGGGATAGTTTGTCCAAAAATGAAAATTCACTACACTGAAAAAAATTATTTAAAGATGATTCCTTGGATTTACTAAATTTTTTTGTTAAGTGGTTATAAACAATTTATTTGGGCTGAATTCAAACAAACAAATTAAGTTGAACATTATTAAACTTAGTTTGTATTTTTAAATTCAACACAAATAAATTGTTTGCAACAGTTCTGCATGCAACACTTTTTTCAGTGCACAAATCCTGAGTTTTTTTTTCGTTTGGACAAAAAAAAAAAAAAAAAAACGAGGAAAAGTTTTGGTTTTCAACAATCCTCAGGATATTGTGCCCAACAAAAGTAAGATACTCTGAGTGTTTTGGTACAAGTGGATGAGTAAATGACTTGACATTTTTGAGTGAACTATGCCTTTAAGTGTAGTGCTCAGCTCTCTCCACATGGTGGCAGACTGAGGGTGTTTTCTGAATGTAAAAAACATACAGTTGAGGTCAGAATTATTAAAAAAAGATTTTAGCTTAAAGGGGCTAATATCATTGTCCTAAAAGGATGTTTAAAAAATTAAAAACTGCTTTTATTCTTGCCAAAATAAAACAAATAGGACTTTCTCCAGAAGAAAAAATATTATCGAACATACTGTGAAAAATTCCTTCCACTGTTAAACATTATTTGAGAAATATAAAAAAAATAAATAAATAAATTTAAAGGGAGGCTAATATGTATGTATGTGTATGTATGTATGTATGTATATATATATATATATATTATTATTATTTTTTTTTTCAAAATTCACAGCCAGCATGTATTTATTTTTTTTGTGTGTGTTTGTGTTTTCAAGCGGAGGTTTGGGAAAAAGAGTTTGACCCTATAATGGTGATTCTACGCACCGTTTACCGCAGAGACGTGCAGTCGGCCATGGATCGATACTCAGCATTGTAAGTCTCTAAAATCCTCCAGACATCCACATAATCTCAAATTCACTGTATAACACTGAACATCTACTGTTTCACACCAATTTTCACAAAGGATTGCTTGAAGTCTAAAGCTTTATGTACACTGAAGTCTGAAATGTATTCGCCATATTCTGTCTTTATATTCATGTATGCACTGTGCTTATCATGAAGTGATCTGTGCTGGTGACTGCGTTCTGTATTTTTCCTTTTGTTCGTACAGTGGCTCGGAACTACCAAAACATCTGTGAACTAACAAAACAGCTTCAAGGCTTTTTCGGATGCGAAAATTTGAAAAAATCGTATCTGATTTGAATTTTTATGATGGACGAAAGATTCGCAGGCAGTTTGTCAATACGATTGACTCAACGAGAGGTCGAATTAATTTTTTAAAATGTGAAAATTACGAACAAAAAATTTTGGATTCATTGGGCAAAATACTTAAGATTGCTTAAATGCATTATAAAAAATTACCTTTGGATGATTCTGTGTGACAATGTCAAAATTTGATTTTAAGATTAATGGTAATTGATAACGTGAAGGAATGCAAAACTCAAGTGTAGCTGACGGGCAGTTTGTTGGACATACAATGACTGATGCTTGATGTCAGGCAGTCTTAAAAGCTATTGTATCGAAGAATTTTCATTTCCATGTAGTTGATGGATGAGTTGAACAATTTAAATGTAACGCAGAACGTATTTTCCTATGGAAAGCTAGGAAACTTTAGGTTGCTGGGGTGTTTTTGCTTTAGTTGTGAACCCATCACAGGACAATCGCAATGATCATCATGACAAATTTGGTCAGGATGCCGGGGTGAAACCTCTACTCTTTATCGAAGGACATCCTGAGATTTTTAATGACCTCAGAACCTCAGATTAATGTCTCATCCGAAAGACGGCACCTACAAAGCAGTATAGAGTCCTCGTTACTATACTGAGGTATTAGGACCCACAAAGACCGCCAGTTGGGCACCCCTGCTGGCCTCACTAACACCCCTTCCAGGAGCAACTATTGCTTTCCCATGTGGTCTCCCATCCAGGTACTGACCTGGCGCAGCCCTGCTTGGCTTCAGTGGGCGACCACGTGAGAGTCGCAGAGAGCTAGCTGCTGGCTGATCTTAAACATGGCAATTTTGTAAATGTAAGACAGTCTACTAGAAGTCCTGGGGCTGGCTGGCTGGCTGGCTGACAATTGAAAGTCTGTGTGCATGTACCCCATTGGTTAATAAAGTAAAGTTGCTGGGGGAAAAAATCTTGATTCTGAGGTGGGATTTCTCTGGGAAGTGGCCATTGATCATCCTGAAACCAGACTGAGAGAAAGCGAATGAAATTGCTAGATATTCCACACCGTAGACCTTGGGTTTGAGGGTCGCTGTGTGATAGAGGGAATTATGTTCAGGGTCACTCCTTTTCCTGTTCTGAAAAAAGCATTTCGGAAGGAATGTAAACCTGAATTTTTTTTATAACCAATTATAGTCATGTCATGAGTATCAGTACATCACACCTCCAAATACAGATTCACAGTCAAGCTGCAACCTTTACCAGGAAAAGATAGTCTGTTAACTCGTTTCCTTGTATTTATCAGCCACTTGAGGATTTTCTTTTTTGCAGCAGTGAAAAACATCAGGAACCAATTTTTCTCTGATTGAATCGCTATCGTATTTATAACAATGGATCTATTTACATTTGGCCACATAAATGCATCTCTGTTAAACAGATGTTTCCGATCTTTAAATCGCTAGATGCATATTTATCTTTGTTGACTTGAAATGTGTTGTATCTGACGCATGTTTAATAATTCAAAACATTTTACAGACTGGTCTAGTTTTACCAGGTGACTTCAGAGAAGTTTCTGTCCTCAGACATACATTTGTGATTTTAATCCTGTACAAATCTGCCACCTCTGCCTTTTTTTACACAGCTCCTTAATGGGGTGTTCACACCAGATGCGACTTTGTGATATTTGTGCGTAAATAGACGCATGAACATTTTGAGTTTACTTGCTTCATTCGTGCGTCAAAATCAAACGGCAACCTCCGGAAGCCGGAAGTAACTGAAACTGCAATTCATCGAAATTCCGCTAGTCCTGGCTCCATTATAGAGCAAGTTTCAATTGAGCCCACTGTTAGAATGGCCAACTTCACAGCAGAAAAAAGGTGTTTACAGCCAGGTACAAAGAATGATTTTGGTTCATATAACTGATATTACCCTTCATGACAACTGTGAGGGGGTGATTTTTTTTATAACTCATGCGTTTCCTTTATATTAGGTAATATTAAGTTTGCATAATTAAAGGCGTGGCCACTTGAGTGACAGCTAGGTCTCGCTGGTCGCCGTCACTTCACCTCAGCTGACTCCAGCAGTTTAGCCACTGAACTCAATATATTTATCCTATTTCTGTTTTGTTTTGTGTGGCTTTACATAGTCAGTTGCCTTTTGGACTTGTTTCCTACAATTATCAGATGATATGGCATGCTGTGTGCACTTAATTGTGCTCACAAACCATTCATGTGGCCTCCGTTTCCCATGTGAGTAAAGGTATATACTTATATACCATCTCTATAAATGTATTTGTTTTATTTTAGATCATTTATCGTTTATATTTAGAGCTGTAATGCACTCCAGAATCTGACTGATTGATCAGCTGTAGGCTCTAGAACCGTCATTTGAAGTGTTATGCTGGATTTCATCAATAGTCTTACATTAACTAACACAGACTATATCTGAAGTCTTTGGAAGTAATTCGCTTTTTCCTCCTGTTGAAAAACGTCATAAGAGCAATGCTTAGTGGCTCAAGGTGTACAGCAGGGTTTTTAAAAGTCTGAACACTTTATTGATATAGTGTACAACCAAGCACAAGTGGTCAGAATACAAACGAGTCACAGGTGATAAAGTATTAAGCGTTCTCCCAAAGTAAAGTGTGTCTGAACCAGGTCCAAGCTAAATGCCAGCAGGTGTCTGTAGCTCCTCTCACTCTCTGCGTCTTTGCCCTTGTTTGGAATCCCGTCGAGGGTGCGATGACGCGCGAACAAAATGGCGACAGTTGGCCGAGCCTACTTGTGGCTTCTTTTTCAGTGTTCAGAAACCTATGGGTGACGTCACGGATATTACGTCCATATGGTCAAAATTGCTTCATTGGCATGCGAAATTCACTTCACAATAGATGCAGATTTGCGTCATGGAAAGGGCATCTGTCTGCACGGTGACCCTAGTTTTATTGAGTTAACTTAATCGATTTGTGTTGAGACAACATGAAGGAGTTGTTTGGATTGTCTGCATTATTTACTATGTAAGTGATGCCAGCAACAAAGGAATGTAGTTTTTGATGTCACATTGACTTGATGACATATTCTGTCCCCTAGATCAGTGGTTCTCAAAGTGGGGGTTGGGACCCCTCGAGGGGTCGCGGAACAATGAAGGGGCCAGGGCTCGAAATTGCGATCATTTTGGTCGCATATGCGACCGAAATTTTATCTATGCGACCTTAAAATATATTTGGGAGCATTTCTGCGAGTGCTTAAAATTGTTGTGTGCGACCAGTTTTACTGCAAAATGTTCACCACATGCGCGGATTCGGGAGACATTCACGCGGAATGCATCTCTAAGCTCTTTGTCTGCACTTGGAATGGGAAACGCAGCGCTCAGGAATGGTTTAAAACAGTTGTCATGTCATCTTGCTGCAGTAAACAAAGCCAAGTCCGTAATGCTTGCCCCGGCTTTGCGCTCTTCTTATTGGCCCACTGCTCTAACACTGAACGCGAATGATTGGTTAATATCAGCTGTCAATCACTCAGTCAGCGCCTTCTGGCTTCGGATGACAGAGAGCTACTACCGCGGAAAACTAAAGCGCTAAAGATGAGATTGAAGATAACGCGGACAGATTTAGTTTTAGAAACCATCTAGTTACAAATAATGACACATCTTAATGGTGATTATGTGCTGAATGTTAATCCACCATCTACACTTTTCCAAGAGTAGAAGACTTCTGTTGGCTTCAAGTCTGCTATAAAAAGTCAGTGGGATAGAGTTTTCAGGTAACTGTTTGCCACATCTAGCACGAAAGCAGCTGTATGTCAAATTTAACATCACGTACACCATCGCAAACGGGCTTACACTGAGTTAATTAATATCGCTACTCATGAAAAGGCCGGTATGGCTATTAACATGAAGTATGCATATAATAAGGTACAGTATATGTCAAAAGAATCAGTGCAATATCAGACAGCACTTGTGAGAACAGCAGAGTTATACCGTTAACAGATTCATTCAAGCAGTGTGTGCAGGGCCGGTGAGTGCTCCGTGTATGCTTTGGTCACTCAGTTATGTTATAAAAATCTATTTTCTTGTGATCACGGGATTTCGTTGAGATATTTTCCTCACGCACGCACGCATATTTATATTATTATTATTTTTTGCTTGTTAGTTTTATTGGTGTTGATTTCAAATACAATAAATCTGTTTGTATAAAACTTGTAGTAACGGTGCTCATAATTGGTGGGTGCGACTAAATTTTGGCTGATGCGCCTACATTTTTAAAGTTAGGAGCACCGATGCTACCAAGCAAAAAGGTTCATTTCGAGCCCTGAGGGGGGTCGCCTGGTGATTTCCAAAAATCTACTTATCATTATTATTAGACCATAAGAATTACCATATTTTATCCATAACCAACTGAAGAGAAAAAAACAGCCGTTTATAGTTACTATAGTAGCTTATATACTTGTACTATTGGATTGCGACCCCTGGGGTAAATACATTATTAAAGACAGCAATAGCGTCAGATGCAGCAGATTGATTTTATAATACCAGGTTAAACTTTCTGGCCCATTTAAAGCACTGAAATACATTTAAAAAATTAAACGAAGAATAGACTTTGGTCTATTGGTGTGTGTGTGTGTGCGCCATTGCATGCAAGTTTTCTGTATTTATAACCACCTCAGAGGATATTGGGGGTCGCGAGTCACTGGCATTGTTATTTTAGGGGTCGCG